GGGGGGGATGGGATCTTATATTGTCTGTATTCTTCAGTCTATTTTGTAGTGGTGGGGAGAGAATTTTGTAATGCACCATCTAATTTGGAAGGGGAGGACGGGAGATATTCTTTTGCACTCATCAATCTGGTTGGGGTAGAGAGGAGGGGAGACCCTCTTTTGCACTTATCAGTCAAAAAAGTGTGACATTACTTCTGATGAAAGAACCTCTCTAGTCTCTGTCGATGTTTGTCTTCTGTTGTTTGTCTTGACTCAGACTTGAATGAGTGGGTGGTTGGCGGGTGCTCTGGTGTGGTTTGCTTCTTCTTTCCTATCAAACATTTATCATCCTTATCTCCCCTTCCTCTTTTATGTTTGTTACTCTCTTGTAATGCCTCTAATCTTCTGGCGCTTATATGACCTTATGCAGTTGCGAGCGCCGTAAAACCCTCTACTACTAAAAAAAAAGGCTTGAATGTTTCATGCTGCCGTACTTATCTGAATGCTCAAATTGGGGTTTGTTTTTGCTCACAGACTGTGCTTTATTGTCAATGACTTAATGTAAACACTTTGGGCGCACATCAGCAAAAAAAAGAACATTTAGAAAGTGGACTGCTTCGACCTTGCCAGTTAAAACAAATACAGACTGAGATAAAACATCTCAACGGAGAGATGGAAATGCTTGATAGAACAGGATGGAGGATGGAAGAACTGACATAGAAAAAAGTAAAAGGACTCATTTTTCTGTTGACATTGAATGTCCTAGCAACTGCAAGAATGCATGGAGCATGTGGATGGCTTGATTTCTCTCATGTTGAGTTAAAATTACCATCTTTCTTGGGCGACAATGATCAAATGTTATTGTCGTTTTTTATAAACAAAGTCATAAACTGTATAAAAAACAAAGAATAGAACAAATTTGCCACGTGGTCAGGGAAAAAATGCCAATTTTCTGTTTTTTAATGTTCATGCTGTGAACTCTAATTGAAGCATCATATGATATTTCCATAACATAACTTACTTATTAGACTACTTAATATAACTCATGTGATACGAAAAGCGTGACTCAAAAGACTAGATTTTTTTTAGACAATCAAAAAGTGGTACCTTTCTTTGGATCACCATTATCCTGAGACCACTGTATTGCAAAATATTGATCAATACACTTGGATCAGAAAATGAAACGTCCAAGATTGAATAATGAGGAAGCAAAGAAAAGCTGAAGGATTCTGCTTCATTTTGCTGCCTCTGACTGTAACCTTCCTCACACCTCTTCCTGCAGTTGGCAACAACAATCTTCTTTGCCATCATCATCAGTGCCATCTACTGGCAGTTGGAGGAAAAACCAGGCTCAGGCTTTGCAGACAGGTAAAACATAATGATCTGTGGTTACCCTATCAGTGAGATCCTTGACATGTCAGTGTGTGGACTGTGAGGGGGTCATTCTGAATCAGATGTCTTAGAAATTGATGATTATACCTCTACTTTTTGTGCATACCATATTTTAATGCAGCAAAACTATTGGCTTTCGTGACCTCTTTAGTTGCTCATTTACCCTATGAAGTATAAATTACCTTTGTTTAACATACTTGTAGGAAAAATAATTATTGTAAAAGTTTTATCTTATCAAACTTTGTAGCTCAGCATCTAGGACTGGAAAAATTAACGTTAGTCAGAATATTGTTCTGAGATGTATCTTTGAGTTTGTCATTTACAGAATGTGTTAACAGTAGACAAGACTGCTTATTTAAGTGTCATTCATTGTAGAAAATCGTGCTGAACTAAGCCAAGGTATTTTAAAATGTTAACAAAAAATGTTTTGTCTTTACATTGCAAACTGAAGACTCTTGAATGTTTTATGGATTTTGAAAAAAAGTTTTTAAAGACCTCCCTTTTACCTAAAATCATTTTTTAACATTGATCAAAACTTGATTTTCAGGAAAGGCGTTTTCTTTTTCCTGGTTATGAACCAGCTGTTTCTCAACATGTCAGCGGTAGAGGTTTTCATCAACGAGAGAAAGATTTTCATGTAAGTTGTCTTTCTGTCTCAAGTTTTATTGTGTTTTTTTCTTTGTGTCTGATGTCATAGATACATGTGTCATGCTTGTCTCTGAGCGTATTGTGATCTTTTTTTGCGGCATCTCATAACTGGGTCAGTATCTACAGAACAAAAAATTAAATGTTAATGCCATGAAAAGTCAATACAAAACTTTATATGGTTCGGAAGAAATAAACTTTCGATAAGCATTTTCTTTGCGAATACAAGCTGGAAGATGTTTTTATTCAGAGGCCTAGAAGTTTTTGAGGATGCTTGTTATGTTTTCAGGTGTGCTTTTTCGCTGTTCCATTTGTCACAGTCTCTTGTATCTTCTAGGGAGAATTTATACTTTTCATAGTATTGTTTTCTACTCTTATATAATGAGTTACTAGTTTCATTAGACATTTTTCTGTTCGTTTCACTGATGTTTAATCTGATCATCATCAATGTTTTTGTCATCCTGCACCAGGGTATATGCCACAAACAAACACTTTCCACCTTTCTCTATCCTGGGCTAGCCTTTTAATGTCTTCCCCCTTTTCTGTACTATGTGTAATCTACCAATCCCAAAAATGTTCACAATCGTACTTTATGTCTCAGGCATGAAAACATCAGCGGCTTCTACCGAGTGTCCGTCTACTTCCTGGTCAAGATTTTCTTCGACATGTTGCCACTGCGACTCATCCCAGTGGTTGTTATGTCCCTCATTGTCTACTTTACCGTGGGTAAGTGACGAGTTTTTCTTGTGCGTGGTTGGCGGGTGCTCTGGTGTGGTTTGCTCCTTCTTTCGTATCAAACATCTATCATCTTTATCTTTCCTTTTTTTTTGTGCTTGTTATTCTCTTGTAACACCTCTAATCTCCGGCACTTATATGACTTAATTGTGTTGCAAGTGCTAAAAAACACTTAATAAAAACATAATAAGGGTTTTTTTTTGTTTGTCCATCAGCTGACTGGAGAAAAATTAAAATGGGCTCTTTAAACTTCAGCACATCATCATCATTGCCTTTCTCACTCTGCATCAGGGCATAGGCCATGAACAAACACTTTCCACCTTCCCCTATCCTGGGCTAGCCTTGTACGTAAGTTTATTCCTCCAGGTTCCACAAATTTCAGCACACAAGACAATAATTACTATCACGTACATGAGCTGCTTTTCGTTATGTTGACCAGTGGACATGGAATGAGCATTTGAGCACAACCCTTCAGGGAGGGAGATTAAATTGTACTAGGGGAAAAGTTGTAGTGCTCTCCTACCATCTGCCTCCCCTCCCCGAAATGTTATCTGGGCCATCATCTGTCCCTCTCCTTTGAGCTTTACGAATAGGTGGTAAGATCAGCGTAAAATATATCAAAAAGAAGGTTTAACTCTCACTTATATACCCTCCTGGAAATCTCTTATCATGATGTTCCTTCGTCTCTCACCAAAAAGTGGTAAGAATAATGTAAAATGTATGAAAAAGAAGTTTAACTCTCATTCATACATCCTCCTGGAAATCAATTGTTATGATGTTCCTCTGTCCTTCACCTACAGGTGGTGAAATAAACACATAAGCTGTGTTTGAAAAATATTAAAACTGTCACTTATTCCTTTGTCTTCTATTCTCTCACACCCCCCCCCCCAAGAAATTTGTAACTATGTTGATAATCCTCTGTCTCTCCAGCAGGTGGTTGGCGGATGCTCTGGTGTGGTTTGTTCCTTCTTTCCTATTGTACAACTATTGTCCTGATCTCTCCTCTATTTTTTGGTGTTTATTACTGTCTATTCTTCGGCACTTATATGACCACATTGTGTTGCAAGTGCCGTAAAACTCTTACTAAACCAAAATCACTATGTCTCTCCCCCCCAGGCCTACAGATGGGCGTAGACCATTTCTTCTTGTTCATGCTGGGTTTGTTCTGTGTGACAATGTCGGCAGCCAGCCTCTGCTTCTTCATCAGCTCCACTGTGCGGGTGTTCGCTGTAGCACAATTGTTGTTGGCACTGTGTTATGTGCTGATGATGGTGAGTGGGGCACAGGGAAGGGAGAGGAGGGGGGTTGTGAGTGGAGGAGGTGAAGGGAGTGGAAGGGGTTTTTAGTTGGGTAGGGGAAGGGAGAGGAGGGGGGTTGTGAGTGGGGATGGGGAAGGGAGAGGAGGTGTTCATGAGTGGATGTGAAATGAGTGGAGGGGGTCATGAGTGGATGTGTGCAGACAAGTCCACACAGATAATAATGTATTTGGTGTGTGTGTGTGTGTGTGTGTGTGTGTTTGTGTATGTGTATGTGTATGTGTGTTATGCGCTTATATGTCATTACGCTCATAAGATAATTGCCTTAGTCTTTTTGGCAGGTTCAGAGTTTTTGGTTTGGAAATGAAGAGCAGAGCCATCTTGGTAATATAGTTCACTTGGATCAAACAATAATCTATATTTAAAATCAACTGAGTGTACCAAAATTCAAGCATTTCACAGAGTCAGTTGCTTGAAGGAAACTTTTTTTTCTCATTTTCTCAAAATAGCTAAAAATGATTAAGGCTTAAGTGTCACAACATGGTGGAATCAGGCACTCGTCAATTTTTGGGTATGGAGTTGCTGGTTTATCTTAAAGGTTGTTCATTTGCCTTGTCAACATTTCACTGCACACCAAGATTTGACTCTTTAATTCCAACGTTAAGTCTGTGCTCCTTAACGGCTGTGAAACTTGGAAGACAATAAAGACAGTACTGAATAAAATCCAGACTTTCATCAACAGATGTATGAGGAGTATTCTAGGAATTAAGTGGCAGGATAGAATAAGAAATGAAGAACTGTGGGAAAGGACAGGACAAAAGGATATAGAAGTAGAAATAGGACTAAGAAAGTGGCGATGGATTGGACACACCTTAAGAAAGCCCAGCTGAAAGATCACAAGACAGTCACTGCAGTGGAACCCACAGGGAGCACGAGGCAGGGGTAGGCCACAGGAAACATGGATGTGATGCGTGGAAAGGGACATGAGAGAGATGAAGCTCACTTAGAACGAGCTTGGAAGGATGGCCCAGGACAGAGATAAATGGAAGGAGCTTGTATGTGGCCTATACCCAGCCAGGGGTGAAAGGCATTGATGATGATGATGATTTGCCTTGCATTTGATGAAAAAAAATATCCATTTATTTTGAATAGAAGTCGAGATATTTGCGATTGAAAGAGATGGGGTCACCTGATTTCAGAAGTAAAATTAACAAGAAAATGGTCGCCAAAGTTTGGTGACTTCCTTAGCTCAAGAGTATTTGAAAACTGCAAATTTACATTTTTCGTGCCTTTAATCAATGTGTTTCCATAAAATTCACACTGAAGAATGTTTTTGAATGGACAATCAAGGTGTTGAGTCAAAAAACAAAAATTCGAAAAAAAATCCAAACTGGCCAAAAAATGCCGATTTTTTCGATTACATTATTTTGACGAGCGCCTGATTTCACCACGATGCCTCACATATTATATCTAATGAGCATGACGCTGTGTTTCACTCTACTCACCCCTGTGTGCTCTGACGTCTCTAGCTGTTCGGAGGCTTCCTCATCAGCCTCAGCTCCATTGGGGTCTGGGTCAACTGGGCCAAGTACCTCAGCATCTTCAAGTACGGCTTAGCGGTGAGGTTTTTTCCATACTTTACTTTTCCGATCCAGCGGCCATCTGGGTTCTAGCCCTTCGGCCTGAGGTTTTTTCCCATTCACACAAATTTTCCTTATTCAGTAGGATGTAGCACCGATAGTCAAGTCATTAGTATGTCATATATTCACAACCAAAAGGGTACTGGTTTGAATTTCTGTCTGGGTTGGAGGTTGTATCCTTGGGAAAGGCAATTTACTCAAATGCAACTCACTTCATCCAGGTGGAAAGGGGTACCTGGCTTGCAGGGTGAAATATCTTATCTGTAGGTTAGTGTTTGAGCACCTGTAAAATGGCAGCTTGAATGCATCTCAGAAAGCTGAGAATATTTTTGAATGTTAAAAGGTCTGTCGGGGTAATTATAGATTGCTAAGTGCAAAGAGACTCACCCTACAAGTGTTGTCATAGTTGTTGGTTAAAAATTTTTTTAAACACTCTTTAGTCTGAGACATTTTATCAGATAAGAAAAAAAAAAAACTCTTTCCCCATTAGAGCACTTAATGAGATCTGTTTCTTTTAAAAGATTATTTTTATTCTTCTGCCCTTCTCTCCCACCGCCCCACTTCTTTACCCCTCCCCATTGTTCATATAAAAGGAAAAAAAAACTCGCTCCCGCTTAGAATACATAATGAGATCTGTATCTTATAAAAATTTCTTCTTACCCACCTGCCTTTCTCTCCTATCACCCCACTTCCTTAACCCTTCCCATTGTTCTTTTAAAAGGAAAAAAAATTCTCTTCTGGTTATAGAGATCTGTATCTTCAGAAAAATAATTTCATCTCTCTCTCTTGCCCTTCTCCCCATCCACCTTCCACGGGCGTGTGACCATGTGTGTATTTCCCCAGCTGCTGTGCATCAACGAGTTCAAGGACAGGGCCTTCTGCTCCAACGCCACCACCTGGTAGGTCAAGATTTGATCTCTTTTGGAAGGAGTTTAGACATAGAGTACAATTAACCCTATCCGTACGTCATGTTTTACTATCGTATCCATACGACGTGGGGAACTCTGTGCCACCACTTTCCAAGAGGAAATTTACTCGTTAATTCGATCCGTATGCTTTGCATAGCAGCCTGTCAAATTGATTTTTTGAGAAATACTGAAAGTTTCAAAGAAATCTTCACACTAGAAGTTTTCTAAAATGTGAAGAATACAACGCCGGGGGTACAAAATGACCCCAGGCATAATGAAAGGGTTAACTCCTGTTACAATAGACTCCTTAAAACAAAAAGATTTCTCCTAAGCTTGACCACTACACCACAAATGCCGATATTTTAGGGGTCTGTGTGTGATTTTGACTGTAGTCTAAATCAGGTTTTGATATTTTTGGTAAGCCACTTGAGTGTTCAATCTGTCATGGTTGTTTGAGAGGATATTGTTGTTGATGTTGCCTGATTTTGTCTTAGATAGTGTCAGTCCTCACCAGCAACCTCCCCACATTACCCTGGTTTGTATGGGCCTACCAATAATAATCATAATAATAGCTCGTCTGTCAATATCTGACAATAACCAATACATTGGCAGAGGGGGAATATTTCTCCAGTGAAATAGAAGAATTTGAAGAATTAAAGGTTACGACGACTTGTGGCATCTGCAGTGGTCGATGAGACCAATTCTGGCAGAGAAAAGTTTGCCACATTTTGAACATTTAAAAATGTTCACCTATAGACTATTTGAGAATATGCACACCTTGTGGGTTTCTCTCTTAGTACTGCTTGTGACAGTCGAAAAAAGAAAAAAGAGAAGTCACTCATGCTGTAAGGTGTTTGATTTAGAGAGGTTGCTCAAATAGAAGAAAAAAACAGGGGATTTCATTTTCTTTCGGTTTAAGTTGACTCTTTTGTGTGTGAATGTGTCACGTGTGTGTGTGTGTGTGTGTGTGTGTGTGTGTGTGTGTGTGTATATGTGTGTGTGTATGTGTGTGCCTGTGTATGTGTGTGCCTGTGTATGTGTGTGCGTGCGTGCATGTGTGCATGCGTGCATGTGCATGTGTGTGTGTGTATATGTGTGTTGGTAAAAGAAGTTGCATGCACATTAGATACGATGATGACTTTACTAGTGTAGTCTTACAATAGGTAAACCTTGAACGCATACATTTTTTGTTGACATAAATGAGGCAAAAATGAATACATTAGCAACATCCCTCGGTAAACTAGGTAGGCTATTCTTATAGAACATGACTTTTGCTATTTAATCTTTATTTGCTTGTTTGGTCTCGTTTCATAGTTGAAATAGATAGAGTCTACAACTCATGGTGTGATTTATAACAGTTTATTTGTTTCAAAGAAATGGTTATTGATGTTCACACAAGACTCACTAAACACATTTTAATAGTGTCATACCACTCCTGGCATATCTATGACATTTGACATCCCAACCATCACCGTTCCCTCTTTCTGTCCTTTCTTTTCACCTCCTTTCATTCTCTGTAATCATGTTGTGTCGTCTGCTTCCGTCTCCATTTTCTGCCTCCCTTTGTCCCCTCCTGCTACTCCTTGGCTCCTTCAAACTGCTCTCTTTCAGCCACACCCATGCTCTTAGGGTAGGGAAGATCGAACACCTAGCCTTCTTGGATAAAGGCAAAAAAATCTAAAGGTCATGTGTGCAAGTTGTGTCCTTTAAAGATCCCTCGGTGGTTCAAAATCAATAAGAGTAGGCTTTGGCCGCCACTCAGGCAAAATTCAAAATCAATTTCTACCAAACTGAAAAGGTTTAGTGTGTCCTGTGCGTTCATATGACCTTATGTAGTTGCGAGCGCTGTAAAACACTTACCAAAACAAAAAAAACCCCACTCTCTGTCCTTACAGTGATTACGGAAATTTTTTTCTGGAGCAACAAGAGATCGACTACAAGGATTCCTGGGATTTCTGGCACAACTATGTTGCTCTTGGCCTCATAGCCTTCATCTTACTGGCCTTGACCTACATCCAGTTGCGACTCATGAAGAAACATAACTGAGTTGGCCACAGACAACAATGATGTTTCCATCATTCCGTTGGACGACTTTTACAGACTCCAAGACAGAATGGTAGCTAGTTATACAGGTTCCTGACAATCAATACCATAATAAAAATTCAATGGCATGTTTTCATGCACATATGCATAGTTACACAGACATGTAAACACATGCATGCGTGCGCACGCACGCACGCACGCACGCACGCACGCACGCACGCACACACACACACACACATACAAAGTTCGACCGACGCACGCACGCACGCACGCACGCACGCACACACGCTCCGTAGAGATACAATGGAGAAGGATGATGACGACAGAGATAGTGAACTCATCCAACGAGCCGGCAATCTCACGCGCCACTGAGCTCACCAACACGACCGCTCTGACAGTCGTATCGAACACACGCCGGCAACTTCGTCGTGTCGGTAATCGTTGTAATACGTCGATTTCAGCCTGCTGTAAATACCTTCTTGGTTGCATTGGGAACAAGAGCTGTACCTATTCGACTCTACATACTGTTCAAACTTCACGATTTTTTTTTCGCTACTCGCAAATATTCGAAGCGTGATAGAGCCACTCGAATAATAATAATATCGTGTGATTTTTACAGTCGTTGGATTTTTGTCTCGGTTGTTACAGTAGAACTTATGTAAAAAAAAATAATAATTTTAAAAAATGGTGTAAAATACAGCAATACTATTTTCTACTATTGGTGAGTTTGAGTCTGAGTTATATGTGGAACCTACAAGACTTTAAAAACATACCTCTAGGAAGCATTCACTTCCATTCAATCAAAGATTCTCAGGGGCACTCGTGGCCTAGAGGTTAAGGTGTTGGCCTCTCATTTAAACGTCCCGGGTAGTGACCGAAAAATTTTCTTCTCTAAAATTGTCTCCTTTCACCTCCTTTTCTGCTCTCTAGCAATGCTCAGTTGTCTGCTTTCGTTTCCTCTTTCTGCCCTCACCCCCTCACCTCCTTTGCCCCCTCCTCTGGGCTCCTGACTCTTTCTGCAGCCTTTCTACTCACTACTCCTTGGCTCCTCCTTACTGCTGTCTTTCTGCCACACTCTGGTAGATCTTCTGGTAGGAAAGATCTACACCTAGCCTTCTCGGACAAGGGCAAAAAAACTCAAAGGGCCCGTGTGCAAGTTGCACACGTTAAAGATCCCTTG